ATCTCTGTAGAATCAAGATCAGATGTAATTCCAGGAAAACTCCAGCCTGCACCTGGAGGTTGGTAACTCTACTACTGTTTGCCCATCCCTGTGTCTCTAAATCTCTTTTTTTTAACAAGTTGCACTGCACTGTATCCTGTATCTTGTACTCAGACTGTACTGTATGCCTCTCCCATAGTGAGCTGCTTTGAATCCGGTTTCCCCTCCAGTAGAAAGATAGCTATGTCCTTTAGTATAAGTTTATTTTTATTCCATTTACATTTATGTCATCTCTACCGCATTTTTCTCCCCAAAGTGGCTTACAACTTTGTCTCCTCCTCCATTTTATCCTCACAACAACCCTGTAAGGCAGGTTAGGCTGAGAGATAGTGGCTACCTCAAGATCACCAGCACGCTTCCGTGGCAAAGTGGGCATTCGAACCTGGGTCTCCCAGACCTTCTAACCACTGCATCACAGCTGTCTCTCAGTAACATACAATTAAGTAAATTGTGAGTGTGGCCTAACTTGGCAAAGATTCTTGGGCCAAGGAGCCTCCTGTGGCACCAAATAAATCCCCAGCTGTGATTTCAGAGGGACTTGCACAATGGATCGGGCTGGCCAGCTCGATTGTGAAGACGACGTTCATCAGCTTGGAGCTGTAGTAGGCCTGGGTGCAGCTTTTTGGCCACTCTTCACCGGTCAGGAACCTGATGTTCACTGTCCCCTTGCAGTGCACGAAGGAAGAGACGTTCACAATCCGTGCGGGGGCAGAGGCCTTTACGGTGTCTGCAAGGACAGGGAGGGAGACCAGCTGTGGGCAAAGGGACAAAGAGAGCAGGAAGGAGGTCTCTCACTGGCAGACCCTCCACCCCAAAAGGCACCCACGCACTTGGCTTTCTGCAAGCCTCTGTCCAGCTTCTGTGCATGGACGGATCGACAGCCAGGAGACCTTTGCCCTGCCTCTGCAAGCAGCTGGAAGCAAGCACCTCTCTTAGGGTAAGAAATGCACCCATGAGGACTCACGTCAAGAGCCAAAGGAGATCCCTGAGGGGGCAGAGCTAAGCTCTGTCTCGTTCAGCAACACATCCCATTTGCCCGACAAAGAAGCCAAAAGTGAGAGATCACGGGAGGAGACGGATTCACAGGCTTCATACATTGACCCCAGAGGGAATGAACCAAACAATGGACTTCTCATGCCATTTATGAACTAGATTACCATCTTACTTAGACTCCCCGCAAAAGAGGGGGAAATGTCCCCTGTAAATATCAAAGTAAAGTCTAGACCTGCTTTGGACTGAAATACATTATGTATACTTTAAGAAGGGGAATGTGGATTTTTGCTACGGTCTCTTTAATTAGAGAACGCTTGCAATAACTGCTGGTTGCATAACTGTGTTGTAAGATTTAATGGCCAGAGAACGAGGTCAACACTCTGCAGCCCTGAGAATGACACGAGCGAGCACTCCTTCCATGAATTTTGACGGCACAATGTGGTAAGAAAAGTGATGAAGCCAAACTGTACTAGAAATGTTGTATAACTTTTAGACTTATGAATGATGTCTTTTAAATAGTCTTTTGTAGGACCACAACTCAACACAACTATGAATGAAAGCTTTTCCCCCTTCTGGAAGACTTCATGCAAGCAGAAGTGGGCGTGTAATTCTGGAAACTCCCGTTGGGTTTTGACTTCTAAAATACTGATGCAAAATTGACGTAGTTGTTATATTGTATGAACTGTATAGAATCATAGAATCATAGAGTGTTAGATGAATGAAAGCTTTTCCCCCTTCTGGAAGACTTCATGCAAGCAGAAGTGGGCATGTAATTCTGGAAACTCCCGTTGGGGTTTGACTTCTAAAATACTGATGCAAAACTGACTGGTAGTTGTTATATTGTATGAACTGTATGGAATCATAGAATCATAGAATGTTAAGAGCTGGAAGGGACCTTGCAGGTCATCTAGTCTAACCCCCAAGCAGCACTCTGCAGGAGCAGAGCCGAAAGAGAGCCCTACAGCATACCCGAAAGAGGGTCGTCCAGCCTCCGCTTGGAAACGTCCAGCGAAGGAACACCCACCACCTCCCGAGGCAGACTGTTCCACTGCTCAACCACGCTTACAGTCGAGAAGATTCTCCTGATATTTAGCCGGTAACGACTCCCTTGTAATGCCCACCCATTAGATCTAGTCTTGCAATCTAGTCTAGTATGTTATTGTTATATTGAAGGTACTGAATATATATACCTGATTAGGATGTTATAAGAACACACAATGCACTTTATAGAATGTTAATTATAAACAGAACACATTAATTTACAAACGTTTCTTGCAGTGTATATTTATTCGTTACTTGTCTGAGCATGTGGCAATAGCAATTCTTATCAACTTATCCACTTATTCCTAGAGTGGATACATCAATAAGAATTGTTGTTGCCACATGCTCAGACAAAGCAATCCATTGTGTGTGAGCGATAAAAGAAGGTATTTTCCTACAGAATCACAACTGATAGTAAATATTTTAGCAAATATATCTTTATTGACTCATCATCATCATCACGGATGTTTTGTTTGGGATTCCCGACAAAGAAAGCTGACCCCAGGAGGCAACAGGAGGCCCACAGGCATGGGGGTGCCTATGCAGGGGTCATTTCCTGCAGGAGCGCACAGGAGCGGAGCTCCAGCAGTAAAGAGCCCAGGGGGCGGGCACATGCAACAAGCCCCACCCCCTGCTCCCAGCAGCCCTCAGTCAGAGCAAGAAGCAGCCAAGTAAGTTGCAGAGCCCGTCCCCCGGTTCAAAACAGTCCAGACGCCAGTGGCACCTTGAAGACCACGTTTTATTCAGGTATGAGCCCTCCCTCCTCTGCGAGGACAGATCTGCACCTCCCCCCCCCCGCAATAGCTAGCAATCCAAAACAGTCCAGTGGAGCCTGAGCGGTGGGTGTTGCCTTCTGACACACTTCCGGTGATGCCAGGGGGTGTGGCATATGCAAATAAGTCATGCTAATGAGCTCCTGCACCTCTTTTTCGGGGAAATGACCCCTGCCTGTGATGCCTCCCCCCTCCCTATGAAGCGCCCGCCTAGCTAGCCGGACAACCGAACCAGGTTGTGTCTGTAAACCTCGAAGGGCTCTCCCAGCTCCGTCAGCAATGCTGCCCGGACATCTTGGATCTTCCAGGCGGGGGGGAGCTTTGATACTGGAGCAATGCACAGCGCTTCGGAGAGAGTCCAACTCCCAGACACAAATCCTGACCTTTCTTTATTATTTCCAAACTGCCCCGGGTGCTGCTCCCCCCCACACACATTTCCACCCAAGCTGACCTTTGCTAAGTGCTGTTCTTGGCCAGTGGCTCTCAGAACGGGGGGGGGATTCAGGAAGCCGAGGGGTGTCCCCCCCCGGGGGCCTTACTCTGCCTGGAGGAGAGGCCACTGAAGACAGGCTCCCACCCCCAGGGATGACCGTGCCACCAGGGGCCCCGACAGGGCATGGAAGAGAAGGCTGCCTTACCCAGAAGCAAGCTGGTGAGCAGGAAGGGGCCCAGGACATTGGTGGCAAACATCTGTTCCAGGTCCTCGGCGGTGGGGGCCACCGGCAAGCCTGGAGAGGGAGAGAAGGCAGAGGAGCGACCTGGGACGGGGAGGCGGGAGGTCCAGGCACCCAGCCGGTCCAGGGCAGGGGGCTGACTCCCTTCCCGGCACCCATGAACCTGCACTGCTGCTCCCTAGAACTGGGTGGTGCAGCGGCTACTGTGCCAGACGAGGAGCTGGGACACCCCTGGGCGGAATCCCCACTCCTGCCCTGGAGGCTCCCAGGGTGCCTCTGGGAGGACAGAACAATAGAAGCTGTTTTGGGAGACCAGTGGGGGGGGGAGAAGAAGAAGAAGAAGGAGGAGGAGAAGGAGAAGGAGAAGGAGAAGAGGAAGAAGAGAAGAGGAAGAAGAGAAGAGGAAGAAGAGGAAGAGGAAGAGGAAGAGGAAGAAGAGGAAGAAGAGGAAGAAGAGGAAGAAGAGGAAGAAGAGGAAGAAGAGGAAGAAGAGGAAGAAGAGGAAGAAGAGGAAGAAGAAGAAGAAGAAGAAGAAGAAGAAGAAGAAGAAGAAGAAGAAGAAGAAGAAGAAATTGGATTCATACCCCATGGCCCTTCACCACCCAGAGGAGTCTCAGAGTGGCTGACAATCTCCTTTCCCTCCCCCTCCCCACAACAGACAGGCACCCCCTGTGAGGCAGGCAGGGCTGAGAGAGCTCTTGACAGAAACGGCTTTTTTTCAAGGACAGCTCTTGTCAGAACTACGGCTTGCCCAGGGGCATCCAGCCAGGTGCCAGTGGAGGAGGAGGGGGGAATCCAACCCGGCTCTCCCAGATTAGAGTCCGCGCACTTAAACCACGACACCAAACTCCCTCTCAGAGAGGGAGGGGGTGCAAGTCAGCTAAATAAAGCAAAGACAAATGAACCCTACCATGTGTCTTTGAACGCTTGCTGGCCCTCCCTTCCTAGAAGGAGAAAGTTCCCCTTGGCCTCCTCCCAGTAAGCATGTGAGAAGAGCCCAGCTAGATCAGAGGGAAAGGGGTCCATCTCACCCAGCACCCTGATTCCAACGTGGGCAGCAGTCAGGTGATTCTCTGAAGCTTAACAAATAAGGGCTGTAGACTGACCGCCCCCAGCCCCGCAGTTGAGGGCGCTGAGTGATTATTCACCGGACGGAAGGGAGGGAGGAGAGCCACAGGGCAGAGGGGCGCAGGAGCCCTTTGAGGGCCTGGCCAATTGTGGTGGGCAAGCCACACCTCCAAACCTCCTGTGCCCGCCTGGAGCAGCCCTTGTAATTCTGCCAGCACTGCAGGGGCCTCTTGGCTCAGCTTGGCTTGCCCCAGGACTCTCTCTGCCCCAGGAAGGAGAAGGAGAAGAAAATATTGGATTTATACCCACCCTTCACTATGCAAAGGAGTCTCAGAGCGGCTTACAAACTCCTTTCCCTTTCCCTCCCCACAACAGACACCCTGGGAGGTGGGCGAGGCTGAGAGAGCTCTTGACAGAAACTGCTCTTTTTCAAGGACAGCTCTTGTCAGAACTACAGCCTGCCCAAGGTCATCCGGCAGCTGCAAGTGGAGGCGTGGGGAATCAAACCTGGTTCTCCCAGATTGGAGTCCGCGCACTTAACCACTACACCAAACTGGCCCCCCCAGCCAAACACCGACACACCAGGGCGCCTTTGCCTTCCCACCTGTGATCCCTGCATTATTGACCAAGATGTCCAGCCGGCTCTCCTCCTTCAGGAACTGCCTGGCAAAATCTCGGACGGAGGCCATGGAGCTGACGTCCAGGAGGCGCAGGCGCATGCTGGGGTTGCCGGTGGCCCTGCGGATCTCGTCCAGCGCAGCCTGGCCCTTCTCTTTGTCCCGACAGGCCAGGATGACGTGTGCGTTCCTGCGGGCCAAGTCTAGAGCGATGCATTTCCCGATCCCTGCAAGGGAGGGAGGGAGTCAAAAGCCACTTTGGGCAAGCAGACTGGGATGCCGCCAGGCTCCTGGGGGAGGCGAATGCATGCCCAGGCAGGGGTGATTCCAAACAACAAGGGGGAAAGGACTAGTGTCACAGGAGTCCCAAATACACAAATTCCACTAGTAGAAAACACCATCAAAGATTGCCAAAGCAATATATTAAACCATTACAAAGTTGGTGGTGTCACAACAACAACATTAGTGCATACTGTCACTATAATAAGGCATAAGATACTAATATTTTCTCCTTAGAAGATAAGACATAAAGTCCATGTAGTCAGTGTAACCTGACAGGAGGGGTCCCCCACAGCCTGTGCCTGGGGGCAGCCGAGGGTAGGGATCCCGCTCCTGACCTTCGATGGGGCACCACTGGTGCCAGTGCCAGAGGTTAAGAGTCTGGGAGTGCTCCTGGATGACTCCTTAACTATGGAGGCCCAGGTAGCAGCCACTGCCAAATCAGGCTTTTACCATCTTTAGCTGATCAGGCAGTTGGTTCCCTTCCTCTAACGCAACAACTTGGCAACAGTGATCCATGCAATGGTCCCCTCGAGACTGGACTACTGTAATGCTCTCTATATGAGACTGCCCTTGTCTCAAATCCAGAAACTGCAGTTTCTGTTGCAGTTGGTGCAAAATGCTGTGGCCAGGCTTCTGATGGGTCTCTCTATACAGGAGTACATACAGCCTGTGCTAAAGGCATTGCACTGGCTGCCAATAGCATACCGGATTCATTTCAAGGTGCTGGTTCTTACCTTTAAAGCCCTTTATGGTCAGGGACCTACATATCTGAGGGACCTCCTTTCCCCACATGTCCCCCAGAGAGCACTGCAATCAGCGGGCTCAGAACTGACTGGCCCTCCTGGGTCTTAAGGAGGCCAGGCTGTCGACAACCAGGGCCAGGGCTTTCTCAGTGGTGACTCTGTTCTGGTGGAATGAGCTCCTGGAAGAGATCAGGGCCCTGCGGGACCTCTTAAAGTTTTTCAGGGCCTGTAAAATGGAGCTCTTCCACCAGGCCTTGGGGAGCCGCCACCACCATCGATAATTAACAATTAACAGTGGAATGAAAGAGAGCCCTGTATCCCTGGAATTTCCATCAACAGCCTAAAGGACATCAGTCACCTTAAGGACAATAAAAAAGGAAGATGGGTGAGCCAACTTTGAGTTGGGACTATCGAATAGTGGCTGCCACCATCAAATTAATAATGACTACTAGCACTTTATTACGCCAGATGGTTTTAGAATTGTTTGAATTGTAATTTATGTTTTAATGTAACTTATCTCTTTTCTTATGTAAACTGCCCTGAGCTGGCTCTGGCTGGGAGGGCGGGGTAGAAATTCGATAAATAAATAAATAAACCCAACTAGTCACAAAAATTGGTTCCCTAGTCTAAATAATCAAATTCCTCCTCCCAGTCATCCCCTCATAATCATTAGTCAATATTATAACCCTGCTAACAATAACATTAATTAAATTAACTATACCAGATTATTATTACATTAGAATTAACTTTAAATTTATACTAAAATTCTAATCCTTATCAGTCAGCTAGGAAGTCATGGTTCCCAACTAACAAATCTTGTAAGTTTCCAACCAAGATTATGGAGTGGATGGGAGTTATTAACAGTGAAATATCTTCCGTGGGGAGGCTCACAGTATGTGGAGGCACCCTGAATGCATAAAGTAGTCTGAACGGTGTTACTTTTTTTGGCTTCAAGCCTTAATCAGTACCAATAGTCCTCTCGACTGGTTGTTAAGGCTGCATAGCTGGGATAGGAGTAAGGCTGATCTTTGAACTTCAGAGAAACCTCAGAAGTCCCAAGAACCTACGAGGACCTCTCGAAACACCTGATCCTGCTCCAGGTTGCTTGAGGTTGCACGAACCGACCCGGAGGCAGGGCTATTTTTGGGCAGGAACACACAGGAACGGAGTTCTAGCTGGCTTCAGAGTTGGCCACGCCCACTACAGCCAAGATCTCTGTGCGTGTGGATACAGAGGGAAGGCCTAAAGAGCAACCCCCCGGCGACTCTGAGGTGGGCGGGCCAGGGCCCCCCTGGAAGGATTGGGGAGGCCAGGGAAATGCATTGGGGGTGTGGCCTAATATGCTAATGATTTTCTGCTGTTGGGTGTGGTCTATTATGCTAATGAGTTCCTGCTGGGCTTTTTCTACAAAAAAAGCCCTGCACAGAGGTATCTGGGGTGTCTGTCCATCCAATTAGATCAACAGTAGGTGGGCTCAGAGCCAGGGCTGGCCCGAGGCGAGGCTGCAGGCTACAGGTGCCAACCTCCCGGTGGGGCCTGGAGACCGCCCCACTGGGAACCCAGCAGGAGGCCCTGGATGGGGCAATGGGCCCTGGATGGGGGCACCGAAATTCGTCTCCCCCCACCAAAAGCCAGCGCTGATCCCTGAGGCTCCCCTCCATGTCCTTCCCACCTGCCCGGACCCTCTCCAGCGACCCATGGCTGGTGGGTAAAGGCGCCGGCAGAGCGGGCGCATGAAGAGGGGATCCACCCCACTCGTCCGACGGGGCTGGGGAAGAAGCGCCCTGGGGGGAGGAAGAAGCTGCTAATGTTCAGGGGCTGAATCCTGTTCGTGGCAGGTAGGTTGGCCGGCCATTGGGTTTGAGGCCGGGAGCCCCCCCAAGGAGGCTCTGCGTGCTGGCGTCCGAGGTCCCTTGGAGTGCGCCGCCGCCGCCGCCTCTTGCGCGGAGCCAGCTTCCCCCCGGGCTGGCTGGGAGTCGGCAGCTGAAGGCCGGGGCCTCGGGCGACCGAGCCTTGCCGTCGGAGAGCGGCATGGCAGGGCCTACGCGGGCGGGCGGCCGTTTGTCGGGAGGAGAGCGCCAGCCGGCTGCGGGGGAGGGGGAGGTAGCCCCTGGCCCACCTGCCAAGGGCGGCACTTCAGACCCCCTGGGCTGGCGGCCAGGCAGGGCCAGATCTAGTCCCGACAGCGGAAGAAGAGATTGGCTTCATACCCCACCCTTCACGACGAGAAGGCGTCTCCGGGCCCCAGAGCAGACTCCCTGTGGGGTAGGTGGGGCTGAGAGAGTTCTTTCAAGAGAACGGCTCCCTAGAGAACTTGTGACTGACCCAAGGGCACACCGGCAGCTGCATGCGGAGGAGTGGGGAACCAAACCGGGTCCTCCCGCATTAGAGTCCACGCTCATAAACAGGACACCCAGGGCCGGCTCACTCACTAGGCGAACTAGGCGATCGCCTAGAGTGGGACGGCCCTTAGGGGCACCAAACTGCACCCGGCTCGTACTCTGGCAGTTTCTTGATTATTTGTGTTTTTCATTCTTCCTAAAATGCATTTATTTTTGAAAATTGGTGGGCCTACGGGGGGGGGGAAAGGGATTCTCGCATAGGGTGCAAAATAAGCTGGAGCCGGCCCTGAGGACACCAGACTGAGGCACTAGCAGCATTGCTTGGCCCAAGGGTGCTTATTATCGCCAGGAGGGGCGGAGACGGGGGGGGCTGGAGAGGGTTCTGGCCTCCTTGGCTGGGGCCACTGAAAATCAGGGCCTGTCATAAAGGTCATTGCCAAGGGGGAGGGGCAGGCCGCTGTCGTCATCGGAATCACAGGGCTGTTTCAGGGCTCTGGTTCCCAGGCTGAAGACTGCCACGGGGTCTCTCCCGAGGACCAGTTTGTCGCTTTGTGCAAGCAGGGGTGGGGGAACATCAGAGAGGAGAAGTTGTCAGGCTGGTGAAGTCGGGCTTGGCTCCCTGCAAAGTTATGGCAAGCAAAAGCAGCTTCGCGGCACTGGTACAGAGAGCGTCCGGGGTGGATGTCTGTCCACAGTCACACCTGTTTGTATCTGCAAATTGCTCTGGATGCTGGAAGGTTCTGAGTGACAGGCGTTTTCGCTAAAGCTCAGCGGTCTGAGAGCCACAGAGCTGGAAGGGGCCCGACCGGCCATCTTGCAGGTTGTGTCCCTGAATCAGCCCCATCGAACTCACACAGGCAGAGGTTATAGAAGCAAGCCCCGGCTGGGCCGCTGCCCGTCACTTCCCGGACCTGAGCAGCCATCGGCTGACTGAGGAGAACCGCAGAGATGCCGGAGGGAGGTGCTGTTGGGCCCCCAGTGGGTCCAGCCAAGTACAGCCCTTGTCCCCCCCCCCCCTCCTGTTTGCCAGCTGTTGGGTATTACAAGTTGAAAACACTCAGTATATCTGGGGTTAAACGTTTGTTTATGTTACTCACAGGAAGTCACATGTTTCTCATGTAACCAATGTTGTTTTAGGAGTACAAGCCCGGGGGAATTTCCTCCCTGATCCAGGGATTTGATTGGGACTAAAGTGTCAAGGTGTATTACCATTTTATGGCTTCTCTTCCCGTCTTTGTTTTTGGTGTTCTGAAGAAGGAGAGCAGCCATTCTCTCTTCTAGTCTTTGTAGTGTAAGGATGTAGTCGATTTAGCTCTGTTGTTATTTTCATCCCAGTTACCCTTCCCATGCTAGAATTTCGTAAAAACTTTCTATTTTAATCACACATGGACTCTCAGTCTGAATTATTTTACTCTGGCTCTGCTGGACTATCTTATCTCTGCTAAATACCATTTTTTTCAATATCTCACTATCACCCAACACCAGCACACTGTTACCATGTGACCATTTGCATTTGCATATTGCCTGTATTGTGCTTATGATATGTTGCTTATATGTATATATATCTGTGCCTTTGAGAGCCTGAGGCTCATTGCCATGTGTGTATGTGTTGCTATGGACTGCAATGGCAGGCCTTACACCCCGAGGCTGCCCACAGTGGGGGCCTGACAGGGATGCCTGCCACCAAGCATTTCGCCTGCCCTGGAAATTTCCACTGTGCCTTGGTCAAAAAGCAGATGCCTGCTCTGGAATGTTGCAATGTGCCCCAGTACCAGCAAGGTCACCGTTTGGGGTACACAAGGAGACGCTTGGATGAGCAACAGGCTTGACCAGCAGTGATGGACGGTGGGAAGAGTACAATTCAACCTCGTTATCTGGCTTGGCATCGAAAAGACAACATCCTTTATTGCTTGGGTACCCAACATCTGGCACAGCAAAGGAGTTGCTGTGGCAACGGAGGTGCAACCATCACCAAACGGCCCCGCTTTGATGTAGGATAGAAGAATCTGCATATTGCCCCCTACCCCTCCTAAGACATCACCCCCTGCCCAACCTATAGTTTAGGAGTAGAGGACGAACCCCAAGTTTTATGATAGTCAGGGACTGCCCCGAAAGGGAGCTCTTAAAAGGAGAAGCAAGCCTTTGTTCTCCGGCTAGCTCACCCTTACCCCTAGTTTGCACTAAGGTGCTGCAGGTAACTCTTAAGTTCCCCGGAGTCGCGACCAGGGAGCGCACACGTGGCTGTGGCTGGTCCCAGTCTTTGTGTGTCTAGAGTCCACCCGCTGTTGCCTTGGCTGCCCTTCTTGGAAAGAGGAGATTTCTTCTCGCAGTTGGATCTCAGATGAGTATGATCATATACCTCAGAGTCATCCCCCTTGTTTAATGCTTTTGTTGTTTTTCATGCTTATTGTTTTCTTACCTATTGTAACTAAGGAGCTTGTGTGAATTTGTACGCTTCTGTTTTGGTATGTCTGAACATTTACTCTAGTAAAAGACAACTTGATTTTAAACCTAGCTGTTGTCTCTCTTCCTGGAAAAACTAGCGAGCTTTCAGCACGCCAATCCGACCTCTGGATACACGGGCTTTGAACTCACGCACCGCCCTCCCCTGTACTCAGGGTCCATCTGGGCGTCCCAGAACCGATACCGGTCCGGTCCGGTCCGGGTAACAACACCCACCTCCTCAGCAGGTGGACCCCACAGCCTTTCCAGCACTCAGCCCCCAAGGCTGCAGAGCCCCACGATAAGCCCAAGGGCTGCTTGTGGAGGAACGGAGACCCCTCCCAGCTGCTCTGTCCAAGCCCCCCCCCCACCAGTGCTCCACAGGGATGTTCATGAGCTCCCAGACATGGTGGTGGGAGAGAGTCCCTTTCACAGCCACCTCTTGTTGAAGGTTTGCTTCTGCCCCAGACTGAGAGGGAGGGGGGCTCACCCCTCCGCCCCAGGGGCCGCGCATTGTCCGCTGAGGCCAGCAGTTCCCTGGAGCCAAACCTGGTTTTGTCGGCTGGGGGGGGAGACCAGGGTCAGGGTCAGGCCCAGCCGTTCAGCAAAGCTCCTCTAAGCAGTCACAAATCTGCAGGCCTTGGCCGAAGAGGACTTTGGTTTTTAAAAACTGAAAATACTTATTTTTTTCCCTTTTATTTTAAAAAATCTAACTGGAAACTGACCCTGATTGTCCGAAAGCGAAACCACCAAGCATTGTTCAGGGGATCACTAACAGTTGCACAACTGTTATCTGGCACGGCTGAAGGTTCTACAAATGCCCCGTTCCTAACAAAGACTGCTGGGCCAGGTCTCAAAGGTGCCTCCTGCCTGCGGAGGGAGAGAGTTTGGCCTCCAGGAGTCACTCCTGCGCGCTTCACACAATGACGTTTGTTTTTGGACTGAGTCGGGAGTCCAGGGGCACCTGTAAGGGCAACAAAGCTTTATTCAAGCAGTATAAATATAAAAGTTGGTGGTTCAGTTACATATTTATGGCTAATCCTTAAAAACTGTCGACCTATCAATTGCCTAAATCGTTTCTGAACAGGCAAAGACCACCCCAACTGGGCAACTCCTCTCCTGAGCCCTTGCTGGGCTTTGATGGGTTGAAAAGCATCAGCCCCAGGGCAGAACAGGAAGAAGAGCACTTGGCACAGAAACCTCTCCATGAGGAGGACCCTGGGAAGAGAGGGCAGGGCTCTTGGCCAGGCGGAGGCACACACACACACACACCCGGCTGTCTTTTGTCCTTAACCAACCACCACCTTTGTCTGTGGGAAAGCACCTCCAAGTCGCCTGGCTGGCCTCCTGCGGCCCCCCCCCCCCGGAGAGCGGGTCAGTGGGAGAGCTGAGGGCTGCTGGGCAGCAGCAGGGCCCCAGGCAGCATCCGTGGCAGGGTCCGTGGCTCGTTCACAACCTTCTCCACAGCAACAGCAGGGAGAAACGGCACCCGGGGGGACATGGGTTTCAGCTCCTTGCGCGTGCCCTCGGTCTCCTCGGGAGGGGCAGCCGGCCTGACTCCCCGCCGCTTGCTGCCTCCTCGGCCCCTCATGGTCACCCCCGGAGCGAGCTCCACGTGCTCCGCCAGCAGGGTGGGCTTGACAAAGATGAGGCCGGTGGGCTCCAGAGTCCTCCCCTGGGGAGGAGGGGGGGGAGCCATCTGCTCGGGGAGCCGCTTCCTGCTCGCCCTGGCCAGCCCACCCCCCAGCCCCACCATGCACGTCCGGTCCACGGCGTCTGCCCCCACCCGGGGGGGCCCAGGGCGAGGGCGCTGCTTGCAGCGGCCTGAGACGGTCTTGAGGGCCTCTTGCCGCAGGGACTCCACGTTCGGGTCCACGACCTCCACGGAGGGCTTGACCCAGCGCTTGGGCAGGCGGGCGGGGTCCAGCCGGGGCACCGCCGTGATGTTGCCGGCCTCGTCGTAGAGCACGTCCTTGATGTTAGGCGGCCGGCCCAGCTGGATCCGCAGCAGGTTGCTGCAGGAGTGAGGCAAGAGCTGGCGGGGACTGTCCGAGGCGCTGCGGGTCCTCTCCTCCGCGGAGGACCAGGAGGGCTCTTGCAAGGGCCGCGGCTTCTCACACTTGCTGGGCAGCTCCTTGCGGCTCTCCAGCCAGGTCGTGCTCTGGGAACCTCCCGCACCTCCTTTCCTTCCCTTGGAAGAGGTGCTGGCCTGAATCAGGGAGGAGGAGTCCAGCGGGGTCCCCGGCAGCCCCTTGCCAAGTCTGGTCTGTTCTTGTGAGGGCTGCCAGGACAGCACCCGGGGAGGGGGAGCAGCACCCCCCTCGCAAGGCACTTCCAGGGAAGCAGCAGCAGCAGCAGCTTCCTCGGGGGGTACAGCTGGAGGAGCCTGGAGAGACAGACACAAAGAACGGGGATTCAGAACTGCAACACACAAGTGCGCAAACCCACACCCGCCGTGCCTAGTTTAGGCCTTGCTGCAGTATTAGTGTTGTGCATTTTAAAATGGAAGGGGCAGGGTCACTGAGAGTGGGGGACACACACACACACACAAAATTCCAGGGGCTGTGCTCAGCTGGAGGGCCTCTGAAGCCAGCCTCACGCTGCACTCACATTCTAATGCAGTTCTGACTGCAGCCACAAGGGATGCAGCAGGGAAGGCAGAGGGCAGTCATAAGCAGTATCGGCTATGTTTATTAGGAAGCAGAGGGAAACCCTTGCTTCTCCGATCCTGCTAACCCCATCAGCCAAGCCAGCAGTGGAGCAAGGCAAGACCAACCAGGACAAGCGAGTGTCACTGCCAGGATGAAGCCTCCTAACAAGGTCCTTTTCTTCAGTGGTCTGTGGTTTCCCTCTTCCTTTACTTCCACCCAACTCCTGAACAGCCAGATCTTGGAAAGGAGAAAGCGACGAGGGAAGAACGGAACAAGATCTCACAAAAATATACAACCGTGAACACTTACTCATAATCAAATTGCTTCTTTACATGAATAGCGTGTATAAATTTTCATAAAGAGTGCAACAATCGAAAGTCACGTCATCTTCATGCCAATATCTCTCTTCATTGTGTCAGACTCCTCTTGGCATCATAATAAGCACACTTTAGGGAAAGGTAACTTTATTAGAGCTGAAAGGTGCATAACATGGTCACTGTTCAGAATGGGGCATACAGGCAATGGCTAAGCATAAATTAGTGATAAATTAGTTCAAAAATTATACTCTAAATTTCTAGACAAGGACATGGAGAAA